CTATTCTATTCTATTCTATTCCATTCCATTCCATTCCATTCCATTCCATTCTTTTCTGATAAATTGGAAGGTGGAAAGTTAGGGAGGCTGCAGAAAACGGAAGAAACTTTCAGCTTCATTTCAACCAGATATCTTCACGTCATCATTGAAATAAGTTTGAGAAGACTTTTGAAAGACTCCAAGAAGGAACAGGCAGCGAAGGGGGAGGTAGCAAAGGGAAAAAAATCGACTATCTTTTGTGATGTGGGAATACTGGTAGTCCTTGGCTTACAAAAAGTTCATTTAGTGACCATTCAAGGCTACAACGGCATTGAAGAAAAAGTGACTTATGACTGTTTTCCAGACTTTCCGTCCATTGCATCCTCCCTCTTGGTCAATTTGACCAAACTGACTCCAATTTATGACGGTGTCCCTGGAGTCACCTGATCCCCTTTTGCGACTTTCTGACAAGTGGAAGGTAGACTCACTTAATGACTGGGCTACTCACTGACCAGTCACAGCGATTGCCTAAACGACGGTGCCAAGAAAGTTCCGTCAAATGGGAAGAAGCTCACTTCAACCAATGTCTGACTTAGCCACAAGAAATTTGGCTCAATTATGGTCGTAAGTCGAAGACTCCCTATATCACATGTGCTCCTCAGGTTTTCAGTGACTTTTTAAGTTTGGAACAGACCCAAATAACCACAGCAGTCCCCGCTGACGAAGGCAACTGAGAGACAAACGGTTGGGAAAAACTGCAGGGTTTTTTTTTTCGGTCACCCCACTCAATTGCCTAGTTGCTATTGTTCTTGATGGATCTACCCAAGCGTTACTACTCAGCTTGTGGCGCCTGTTAGGAATCTGCCTGCCAGTTTCTGAAACTCAGCTGCTAGCCTGCTAGTCCGTGTTCATCCAGGGAAGGTGTTTTTTATAGACAATGGAGCTAATTTATAGTAGTAGCAGATGTTACGGCTCGACACCAAATGATACCAAAGAGAGGTATTTTTATCAGGATTTTCAGGAGCTTTTAAACAGATTGTCTGGGTCTGGATGGAGAGGGACGCCATTGTTTTCTTTCTTTGACAAAGAGCTTTCCCTTTGTCCTTTTCATAATTTCTGCACGATGTTACTATGGTTTTGCCCTCGTTGTCATTCAGATGGGTTTGTTCACTCCCTTTTTAATTTCCAGGTGTTTCAGGAGTGCCAAAACCATCACCCCTAGAGTACTGCATCCAGTTTTGGTCACCACACTATAAAAAAGATGTTGAGATTCTAGAAAGAGTGAAGAGAAGAGCAACCAGGATAATTAGGGGACTGGAGGCTAACGCATGTGAAGAATGGTTGCAGCATCTGGGCCTGGCTAGTCTAGGGAAGAGAAGGACCAGGGGAGACAGGATAGCAGTCTTCCAATATTTGAAGGGTTGCCCAAGAGAGGAAGGGGTCAAGCTATTTTCCAAGGCACCCAAAGGCCAGACAAGGAGCAATGGATACACCTGAGCGCTGGCTGATGCAATCTTCCCAGGCCTTGTGGTGAGATGGATAGAGGGCTTTGTTATGTAGAATACTCTGCCCCAGGCCTTAATGGCCTGCCCATTAACAAAAGTGGGGGGGGGAGCTTCTGCCTCTCTAAGATTCTACTTCCCTTTTAGGGGAAATATTCTGCCTTTTAATATTTTCTAGGATATTTCATTTTTCTAGGAGAGGGGTGGGTGCTAACGTCCTACAATTCCATTCCAGTTTTTTTTTTTTTCTGGATTAATAAGAAAAAGAGCTAAGCTCAATAGAAAAAAAAAGACAGAGAGAGAAGAAGGGAGGAAAAAAAAAACCTTTTAAGCAATTTATTTCATTTATTTCCCTGAAATGTTTGGAAACAGCACCTGTAATCAAGCATTTCCAAGTCTTCGGAAAGTAGGAAGTGCATCCGATGACGTTGTTGCCATTAATGGAAATTAGTTTTGTTTTTGGCGGGGAAGAAAAAAACAAGAAAAATGACGGAGAACAATGGGGATGTTTGTGTTTCTGAGCAAACGGCCTTGCCATTTTTTTGCATTTTGTTCCTTTGATCTTGGTTTCAAAGGCCCTTGAAGAGTCCATTTGCAACATTTTTGATTGTAGCCAAATGAGCCTCAGACCTTCTGATGGATGTGTTGCAGGAACATATTAGAGAAGCTCCAGTGG